CGCGCCCGGCCTATTTTAATCTTTAAGTAGGGTTTGAAGCAAGGGTCCAACTCTATTCTTTTGCATTGAATATCCAGTTATTTTAGCACTATTTGTTGAAAGACTATTCTTTCTCCTTTGAATGGTCTTGCACACTTGTCGAAAATCAATTGACCAGTGTATTGACATAATTTATTTCTGGACTCTCTATTATATTGGTCTATATGGTTATTTTTATACCAGCACCACAATGTTTTGATTAATGTAACTTTGCAGTACAATTTGAAATTGGAAAATGTGAGTCCTTCAACTTTTTTGTTCTCATTCAAGATTGTTTTGGCTCTTTTGGGTAACTTGCAATTCCATATGCATTTGAGAATCTTTTCCCTTTCTGCAGAAGGGCTATTGGGATTTTTTTTTTTTGAGACAGAGTCTCACTCTGTTGCCCGGGCTAGAGTGCCATGGCGTCAGTCTAGCTCACAGCAACCTCAAACTCCTGGGCTGAAGCAATCCTTCTGCCTCAGCCTCCCCAGTAGCTGGACTACAGGCATGCGCCACCATACCAAGCTACTTTTCTCTATATATTTTTAGTTATCCAGCTAATTTCTTTTTGTTTTTAGTAGAGACAGGGGTCTCGCTCTTGCTCAGGCTGGTCTTGAACTCCTGACCTCGAGCGATCCTCCTGCCTCGGCCTCCCAGAGTGCTAGGATTACAGGCGTGTGCCACGACACTTAGCCAAGCTATTGGGATTTTGATGGGGACTGCATTCAATCTGTAGACTAAATTTGGGGGTAATGCCATCTTAATGATGTTAAGTCTTTCAACCTGTGAACACAGGATGTCTTCCATTTATTTAGGTCTTTTTAAATTTCTTTCAGCAATGTTTTGTATTTTTCAGGGTACAAGTCTTGCATATCCTTGGTTAAATTCATTCTTAAGTATTTTATTCTCTTTCATGTTATTGTAATGAAATTGTTTTCTAAATTTCCTTCTCGGATTTTTCTTTGCTAGTGTATAGAAATACAACTGATTTGTGTGTCTTGATCGTGCATCTGCAACATTGCTTTATTTTTTTTATTAGCTGTTTTTTGTGGATTCTTTAGGATTTTTAGTATATAAGATCATGTTGTGTGTAAATCGTTTGACGTCTTCCTTTCTATTTGGGATTCCTTTTCTTTCTTTTTCTTGCCTAACTGCTCTGGCTAGAACTTCTAGTACAACGTTGAACTGCAATAGGGAAAGCAGGCATTTTTCTGATCTCGGGGGAAGAGCTTTTTTTAATGTTTCGCCAATGTTATTAGCTATGGGTTTTACACGAATGCCTTTTATCAGGTTAAGGAAGTTCCTTTCTCTTCCTAGTTTGCTGAGTGCTTTTACCATGAAAGAGTATTGGATTTTGTCAGATGCTTTTTCTTATGAATTGAGATGATCATGCTGTTTTTTCCCCTTCATACTATTAATTTGGTGTATTATACCGACTGATGTTTCTATGTGGAACCATCTTGCATTTTTGTGATAAATCTCTCTTGGTCATGATGTATAATACTTTTAACATGCTGTTGGGGTTGGGTGCCATGGCTCAAGCCTGTAATCTTAGCACTTTGGGAGGCCGAGGTGGGGGGATCACTAGCCCAGGTGTTCAAGGCTGCAGTGAGCTGATTGCACCTGAGAATGGTCACTGCACTCCAGCATGGGCGACAGAGTGAGATCCTGCCTCTAAAAATTATAAAAAAAAAAAGACAGAAAGAAAATATGCTGTTGGATTTGGCCTTCTAGTATTTTCTTTTTTTTTTTATATCTATATTCATAAGGGATATTGGTCTGTAGTTTTGTGATGTCTTTGTCTGGCTTTGGGATTAAGGGGATGCTGGCCTTATAGAATAAGTTACAAAGTGTTCCTTCCTCTTCCATTTTTTAGAAGAGTTTGAGTTTGAGAAGGATTGGTGTTAATTCTTTATATGTTTGGTAGAGTTTACCAGTGAATCCATCTAGTCCTGAACTTTCTCTGCTGGAACATTTGTGATTATTGATTCAATCTGTTTATTTGTTATAGGTCTGCTCTGATTTTTAGTTCCTTCCTTCCTTACTTCCTCCCTCCCTCCCTCCTTCCTTCCTTCTTTTTTTTTTGTAGCGACGGGGTCTCACTCTTACTGAGGCTGGTCTTGAACTCCTGACCTCAAGCAATGCTCCTGTCTTGGCCTCCCAGAGTGCTAGAATTACAGGTGTGAATCACTGTGCCCCACCAAGAGTTTTTATTTCTTCTTGAGTCAGTTCTGGTAATTTGTGTATTTCTAATTGTCCATTTCATCTAGGTTATCTGATTTGTTCACAAAAATGCTTGTTTTTGATGAATAAATGTGTTTACAGTTACCCAAAATACCATGCAATTAATCTAAATAAAACTTGAAGTATATGTAATGTTTTATTGCATCTACTTTTCTAAAGCAAAATGCATATAAAATTCCTTAAGGAATTTAAACAAAATTTCCCCCAAATACTAAGGAACCAAAATATTGATTGGATATGACTAGTATAAATTGTATTACTAAAGAGTATAAACCCTCTTAATTTTTTTTATTAAAATAAATAATTCCTCACATAAGACGAAATCTCTCTTTTTTTACCTACAGGCAGGAATGGTAAGAGTGAAGACCCCTGAGTCAGACTGCCTTCATTTGAATCCCTGCTCTGTATAACTGATTAACCTCTACGTTCCCCAGTTTTTTCTTTTTTCTTTTTTTTTTGAGACAGAGTGTCACTCTTTTGCCCCGGCTAGAGTAAGTGCCGTGGCATCAGCCTAGCTCACAGCAACCTCAAACTCCTGGGCTCAGGCGATCCTCCTGCCTCAGCCTCCCAAGTAGCTGGGACTACAGGCATGCACCACCATGCCCGGTTAATCTTTTCTATATATTTTTAGTTGTCCGATTAATTTCTTTCTATATCTTAGTAGAGACAAGGTCTCGCTCTTGCTCAGGCTGGTTTCGAACTCCTGAGCTCAAACAATCCGCCCGCCTCGGCCTCCCAGAGTGCTAGGATTACAGGCATGAGCCACTGCGCCCGGCCCTCCCCAGTTTTCTTAACTATAAAAAACAGAGTAATAACCTCATAATAATAACCTCATAAGGTTGTCATGAGGATTCAGTGCATTGATGTATCCAAAAATCTTTGTTCCTACTTCATAATAAATCAATATTAGAAAATATTTTTCATAAGGTGGTTATTAACTGGGGTTAAAATAAAGAGTATCTAGACATCTCAATGGACAGGCTAACTGTAAAAGTCAAGGCGGCAATGTTGGATGGTGGATTCAAGAAAGAACCATATTTTTGTCTAGATTTATAAGACCCTGGACTAGGAGAGGAATGAAAGTCTTAACAAATGCCCTGTCACAAGAAAAGATGGGTCTCTGTAGTAGTATCCAAGAAAGAAGGTCCTATTGTCTACAGAACTGCATTAGAGAGGCCCTTTATCAGAGCAGGAAATCCCACAAAAGCAAGCAAGGTCCTTGGAGAGAAGAACCAGTTCTTTTACTTTAACCTAAGTCTGGTTTCCATTGTGGGCCACAGGGAACCAAAGAATGGATAATCAGAGTTCCAAATAATGATCACAAGGCCCAAGCCTCCACAAGGAGGTAACAATGTATTGTTTCTGTTTTTGAAATTTTTGTTTTTGAAATTGTGCTATTTCTTACACCTTTCCTCTTCTTCCTTTCATTCTCCTAAATGCATAAATATACTCCACAGCTAATCTCTCCTTGTCAGGAAAATAATTCATATACACAGTATAATGAAAATATAAAATATTAATATATGACAAATCACACTCACCATTATTGTCTTAGTGACACCAGTGAAATGATTACAGGATTTGTTTTGGGAAACAGAAGTACTCACTTTCTTGGGTTCCAAGATAGAAACATTTTATGTTCATTCAAAATCAGTTGATTTAAAAAAAAAAAAGATTTGTTTCAATTTTTAAAGACAGCAACTAAATAAAGGCTGCCCTGATATAAAATATAATAACACATTAACCACAATATCGTATTTTAAAAGATGAGAATTTAGTTTATACTCATTTTACATTAAGATATAAGTTAATGACTTTTACCTTGTAGGATTTATCACAAAATGTTACTGCCCAGCGTATTTTTGCAAACAGTAATAATTCGCTGAGAGTATTAACATTCACATATGTAATGAGAGTTTACAAATGTACAAAACTTTGGGTAACAAACACTTTAAACTTATTTTTCAAACATTCAATAAGCCCATTCCCCCAAAGCTGATTACAAAGAAGCACAACGGGTTATTAACTGTGGCAAAACCTAAGAAACCAGGCAGGGGAGGCAAATATAAACTTGAGACTGTAAGAAAATCCGAACAATTTTGTCAATATCAAAAGACAAAATCAAAACATCTTTTATAATATAAAACAAATCCATACAATACTAATTAGGTGAAAGAACATTATAGGGTATATAACATTTATTTTCTCTACACAAATTTGCATATCTTAAATTTAATGCAAGATACCATGTGTCAATTTCAATTTTAGAATATCATGACATAGTTCTTGGTGAATCTAGGTGTAATGGAATGAATACTTAAATAGACCCTAAAGAGCATATCAAGTTTTTATTTGGTTATTGTTGTTTTTAACTTTAATGTTTTTCTTTATTCATTGGACTAAGTCAATTTTAGAAACAAAATCCACAACCAAAGCACATATAATGTAGCTGTTTCTGAAAAAACTAAATAGTACAGTCTTTAGTATGTCATTAAAATAGTGGTTGTCGTTAAACAAACAAGCAAACAAACAAAAATTACTGCAATTCATGTATGATAAACTTACAAAGCAACATTTTACAAGTTTTATCTGGTGTGTTTTCACTGTAATAAAATAAATCAGGATAATGTGAGTAAAAGGTGCTTGACTATGAATAAACGAAGTCCCCAGTTAGCACTGGGTAATGTTTCAGAGCAGTGCATTTGTCCTCAGATTTTATATCAGGGACGTACGGTATGTCCCAATCCACCAGCTGTAGTGTTAATTTACTAAGAAATGAAAGTATTTAATCCTGGTCCATCCACTTCTTTCTCCCTAGTTTTGACAACCTTCACTTTGAGATCAGGCACTTTGTGCCCAGGAATGTGGCATTGTACATGTACTAAAAGTGTATCCACTGATAGTAGAATAATTGTACTAAATTAATAAAGGAAGAGGATATCTTCATTTAGAAAACAAAGCATGAATTATAATTTTACAGTCACAACACAAGCCCCAGCTCTTCCTAGGCACAGTGGAGCAACCTAAAAAAAAAAACAAAGAGATATGTGTTGGATTTGTAGGTAAAAACGTTGATCATCCCACACCAGTTGGTGTATAATATTGAAACAATCTGTACTTATTGGCGAAGGGCTGCTGCCCTGACCACCTGTTGCCCCAGCCCTGCTGCTCGCCTGGTCCCTTATCCAAGACACCCCTTCCAGTCAAAGTTTCATAAACTAAATTGTTGGGGTATATCATGATTATGTAGCATTCACTCCTCGTTGAAGGTGAATTTTTTAATAGCTCAAGAATGAGTCTACATGAAACACTATATTTTGGCCAAAATGATGTATAATATGGATATAAAGAAATGCTGAACATTTAAAGTAACTTTGTGACCAATATGGAGAAAATACCAAGTGTTACCAAGAGAGGTCCTCTAACAGCCATGCTATCTCAGAGATAGTACACAAAATACACTGAATGCCTGGGGATCTGCTTATTCCAGAGGAACCGTAACTTCACATTATTGACTGCCTTCTACATGTATGACTGAAAACTCTAAGCCCATTCTACTGCTTTTTAGCAGAGTAAATATTTATTTACTACACATATAACTGCCACCCATCCAACTCCCTAGGAGTAGAAACCAACCTGGTGAAGGGGCTCTGCGACAGTGAGATGGAAGTGTGTGTATGGTGGGGAGGGGAGAGGGAGAGAAGGTTGCTAGGGGAAGGAATATAATCTTCATTTATGATAAGGAACAATTCTTTAAAAAAAAAAGTCAAGTGAAATATTTAAGTACTGTAAACACTGGGCAATTCATAGTGGAAATAAAAGTGTGGACAAGGATAGTTTTTGAAGAACTACTCTGAATATAATAAGAATCTATGTGTTTGACCCAAGAGAGTTAAAATGTTAGCATGGGGAGGGGGGGAGACGAATGCAAAGTACTAAGAAAGTTTGCTTTGTACTTACATATGTTAAGGTGTGTGCTAGAGTATTTTTTGTCAAATCCACAATAACTTCCTAATCAGTTTGACCTCCCAGACAAATGAATAGATTTTAAGAACAGACCAGACTTCAATTTTAAGGGAATTCTCAGTTACTTTCCCCTTGGTTCAGTTATTTTGATCATTGTTTACCTCTTTGACCAATCAAATAACTTATGTTAAAACCTTATCTATTTACAGTATGGTAGAAGTAACCTCTAAATCATTTAAATCAAAATGTCAGTTTGCAATATGCAGCTTTTCTCAAATCACCCAAGACACAGTTTCTACATTGTCAATAGCTGACATTGTCATGACAACTGGCTAGAAAGTGTAGCTTAGAGAATTTACTAAATGCAGTGCAGTCACCTCCTGCTTTGGGTCAAGGCTGGTAGTGAGGTGGGTGGTGGCTTTCTAATCTCATTTCAGTCCCTATACAAATGTCCTCTTGTCCATTTGTCAGAGCATTGAAAGGAAAACATTTTTCAGATAATACGGTTGTAAGTTCACGTCTTTAGATGCTTTAATATAGTAATATAGATGGCATGCAAACAAAATAGCTATGTGGTCACAGATAATTAATTTTGATACAGAGTGATTTAGCATAAAGTATTAATTATCTGTAATAACAAGTCTCAAATATGGGCCGACAGAGTTTCTTAAATCTGCCCTAAGGGCTTCAAATCAAACATATCTCAGAAAAAGAGATTCTTCTCTCTTTTTGGGCTCCTTGGTCGTCATTCACAACTACTTTTGCCATAGTGGGAAACTGACAGTAGGCAATCATGTAATTTCTAATGAAATCCTGTAGCTGTAACGCAAGCCCTTCCTCCCTTCACCCAATCATCTAGCTTCCTTAGGATATAGGATCAAGGTTATACAATCCAAGTCCTTTTCCTACCTTTCTCTTCCCTTAAAAACTTCCTATATCTTTCTACATTCATATTCTCATTTCTCTCTCAAACCTTTGAGCATAAGAGCTTTCCTGCAGTCTGAGGATGACCAGGCTTTGCTCTTAATTTTGTTTCTGGCCCCTTTTTCAGGAAGGTGCCCTTCTGTTTTGCTTCTTTCTTTCTAGTATCTGGAATTTCTCTCTATCCTCTTGTTATCTCTAGTGTAAAAAAAACCCTTGGCTCAAATTCTGACTCCACCATTTATTTGCTATGTAGCCTTGGATTAGCTATTTAAATTCTCAGAATCTCAAACTCGTCAGCCTGTACAACGGGGAAATATTAATAATAGTACTTGCCTTATACAATTGTTAGGAACATAAGTAAATTATTTGACGCTTAGAACAGAGCCTGGTATATAAGATGTGCTCAATAAATGTTAACTTTCTATCATCATCATTTTAAAATTGTATGCCCCTCCTGCTTTCACATATTTTTCTTCTCTTTACTTTTTAAACTGGGTGCTGGTTTCTGTTTTTATCAGATTCTCAGACGGCCCCAAAACTTCACGAATAATAAATCATCTTCATTCTTCCTTATACTGTTGAAACTCCTGCTCCTCCCTTTAAATGCTCTGTTCCAATACCTTCTAAGAACCTCTCTAATCATTCCTTTGCTGTTTTCCTCAGAGGCCACACCTCCCAGCCCAACCAGGAAGTATGCATACATAAAGAAAGACTGACAGGAGTCGGTAATGTCTCTCAAATCCATCTAAATTTAACACTTCAAGCCTTGTAACTGAAGCAATCTTCTAAATGTTTTCCTTCTATCCACCTTTCTATCCGTGACCCCCATTGCGTCACTTTCTTGGCTGAAAGTCTCTGCGGGCTTCTCATTGCCGAACTCTTCTCAGATCTCCACTCTGACCCCAACCTTCCTCTCCAATAAGAACTGCTCTTCCCAAGCATGGATCCTTCAAACCAGCCAAACCTCCTCAATATGTCTTGCAGATTTCTGCTTCAGTGACATTTCTTGCCTGTTTTCTCACACAATTTCTCCTTTCTTCCTAAACTTTTTAAATTAGATCAATTCACTAGGGTTTAGTTTAAGTCCTTCCTCCTCACTACCACTTTCTTTTTTCTGTTTGATTTCCTATACCACTCACTGCTTATCCCGTGGGACACTGAATACCAAATGCCTCGTCTCGTGGGTTCTCCCCTCACACGTGTAGATCTTACTTACCTAAGAAGTTAAGTACCAAGACAGCAGAACTTCTCATAAGTTTTATTTTCTTGACAATACTTACCATTGTTCCTGAATATAAGAAAACCCTGGCTCAGCTAAACATTTATTGAGTGTCTTTTATGTACCAGATACTGAATTAGGTATACAAGCACACAACTACTGATTCGGTTCTCAGTGATGATGGAAGCAAAGATCTCAAAAGGTCATTTTTAGAAGTGCTGGGCCCTCCTAGAAATAGATACGGTTGGAATCTTTCTGTTAATAAGCTTGCCAGGTCAAATGTCTTACTTTTAATGTAATTTTGGGTTGCCATTTTATTAGGTTATGACCAGAAATTTAATCTGTTCTCAAATATCAATGGCTTGAGTATTTAAAAATTATGGCTCATATAGGGTAAGTTGTTCAAATTTTTCTGACTACTACCTTTGTTTCTTATTTTCCACAATCTTCCCTACCTTTTTTATAGCCCTTTGTGGTCCTGTCAGCTCTAACCATGCTAGAACATTCTACCAAGCAAATGGTGGCAGGGCAATCAATAATTTCTCTGAGTATTAACTTACACTTCAAAGGTTATTTTTGATCTTTATTATGTTATAAAATTAAACATTGCCACTTGTCTTTTCACATTTAATCAAGAGGTGCCTTTATCATATATATGCTCATATTTCAATATTGGACAAAACTGAGAGGGTCTGTTTTACCAAAAGAATCATCTTAATAAAAAGAGAGTAAGTGTAATAATGAAAAAGGAAATGCCATACCTGGGTCCACTCATTTGTCTGGGGATCATAAGCCTCCACTGTATTCAGGTAGGTCTGACCATCATAACCCCCAACCGCATACAATTTGTCACCAAGTAAACAGACCCCCACTGCATCTCGGCTGATGCTCATAGACGCTACTGCAGTCCACATGTCTGTTTTGGGATCATATCTGCAAGAAAATTTGAGAACTGGAGCTGACATTATTCTCAAAATATTTTATATAAGGACAGTTTTGTGCTTCGAGTCCATCTTCTGTCTTATTATCTGCCATGTAAATAAAATACATTTGAACATATTTTAGAGAAGAATATTAATATTTTCCCCAAAACTTGTAACTTACAGTATTATAGATTCATTTAGCAGATGTATAACACTTAAAAGGAGCTAATGTAAATACTGAAAACCGCTTGCAGGCTTTAGATTGCCTATTGAAAATTTGAGGAAATCAATGTGTTAAGCTCTATGTAAGATGACTTACAACCTCAATCATTGTAGCTATCCATTTTTGGACATTTTTGTTCCATTCATGGGGTGTCTTAACTAGAAGTACCCAAAGTTGTCTATCTAAGAGCAGATACATCATGCTAAGATGACCTATATTGCTTCTAATACCTCCTGTATCAATGAATAACTTTTCACTGGGTGTAGAACTACAGTAAGCCCATAATTTACGGGGCAAAGTGTATAAAGACTTCCATAGTCCTTTCCTGGATTCTAACATATAACAAGCATGGGCTGAATTTTTTCCCCCACAATACAGGTGAAATACAGGTATAACTTTCCTGCTTTGTCAAAAAACAACCATCAAGTCTTATTATTATTATTTCACAGAAAGTGCTTGCTATGATTGGGATGTGGTTTGTCCCCACCAAAACTCATGTTGAAATTTAACTGCCAATGTAACAGCGCTGGGAGGTGGGGCCTTTAAGAGCTGATTAGGTTGATAAAATGGATTAATATTCTTCTCAAGAGACTGGGCTAGTTCTTGCAGGAGTAGATTAGTTTCTGCAAGAGCAGGCTGTTACGAAGTGAAGTTGCCACTCATGTTTTACCTTTTCGCACGCCCACTTTCCCTTCCCTTTCTCCACCACGTATGACACAGCGAGAGGCCCTCACCAGAAGCTACCAGATGGGGCCACGCAAACTTGAACTTCCCTTTCTTTGTAAATTACCCAGTCTCAGATATTCTGTTATAGCAATAGGAAACGGACTAAGACAGCACTCATTAGTCATAAACCTTAATTTTACTTTTTATCCTTCTTCTAGTCATTTACAACTTATTAAATACAACACAGTAATCTTTAAAAAATCTGATCACGTCCAACACATGCACACGCCTGTGCACACACATTAACTCCCTATTCCTTTTTACAATCCAAAATCCTTCATAATTCCTCAAGACTCATGATCTGCCCCACCCCACTGGCTCTGCCTCCTTTCCTGCCACTCTCTCCATCCCTCTTTGTTCTCCAGCCTTAATGGCTGCCTTTCAGTTTCCTGTATGAACCACATTCCTTTGCGCTTTGGAATGTTCAGACAAGCTCCTATTAATTGTTCCTCTTAAATCCATTCAATTCTCTCCAGTGCTTGCACTAGATTGAACATAATAGGTGGGAACCTGACCTACCATCCAAATCTTCCACTGCTAATAAGGCTAGTAAGGCTCTCTACCTGGCCCCATACTTGAGTTTCATGAGGTCAGTATGGATGACTTGTTTAAACTTTTAAGGTTTTATATTATTTCATTTTATATCAAAACGTATCAGAAATGTCCCTATCCTTTTCACTTATTTAGCCTATGGCCTCTATGTCATTTTGTCTGAAATCCGTCATGTTCCTTTTCTTATTAGGTTCAGTGTCCAGTATAAAACAGGTGCACGATAAATGTTTGTCATATAATTTAACTAATAAATTATGCAGTCAATTATATGGTCAAGTTTAAGTAAGTGGGCAATAATATGATGAAAGAAGAATCTGAGAAGGCTGTCAGGAGACAGAGGAGAGATGGCCAGACCCGACAACCCAATGTTTACAGAGCTCCTGGAGAACTGCCTTGCATGTGGTGAATGCTCAAGGAAGAGGTATTAATTTGTCTGGAAGCAACAAGAGATTTATATTTGGTGTGTGTTTTTTTTTTTTTTTGGTTCTAGTTTTCCTTCACAGAAAATTACCTCTCCACACAGTCTGACAGTCTGGAAGTCAAGTTGGACGCGGGAGCATCATGTCCTCCGATAGCATACAGCAAGCCATTCCAGGTTGTTACTCCGACACCACCTCTCCTTTTTGACATCTGTGCACACAGTGTCCATTTATTAGTATGAGGATCAAAACATTCTACTGATTTGAGACAAGAACTTCCATCACGACCACCAACTGCATAGAGCCTGTAAAAAGAACAAATGAAATGATAAACAAGAAATTGTGCTGTTACTACACTTAGGACAAAGAGGCTGTTCTTAGGGTATTTCATTGCATTTAAGGTGTCATCCATTATAAGACACATTGTCAATTATATGTGCCATTAAGAAAGAAGATATGCTACCAATTAAATGACACATGTATATATCATATATCACTCCGTGTATAAATGAAAAAGAAAACATAAACTGCACAGACAGGCAGTGACAACTAATTCACAGCTGCTATACGTTTGACAAGGTACCTTGACTGCAAGATGCACTGCAATTCTAGAGATGTTAAAATGTGTCTTAGGGCTGGGTACAGTGGCTCCATGCCTGTAATCCCAGGACTTTGGGAGCCTGAGGTGGGAGGATCACTTGAGGTCAGAAGTTCGAGACCAGCCTGGACAACATAGTGAGACCCTGTCTCTACAAAAATAAAAAAATTAGCCAGGCATAGTAGTACACCCCTCTAGTCCCACCTACTTGTGAGCCAAGGCTGGAGGCTCATTTGAGTCCAGGACTTTGAGATTATAGTGAGCTATGATTGTGCCAATGCACTCTAGCGTGGGTGACAGAGCAACACTCTGTCTCAAAAAAAAAAAAAGGTCTTAGAATACATAAAATATGGTGTATAAATATACCATGACTTGTTTTTTTAAATAGCTAAGATAGGACTTAGTTACAAAGGAAAGAAACTAACCTTCTCTGAGCACTTGCCATAGGCTAGGCACTTTACATGTACTAATTTAATCATAATGATGCTGTGAGAAACCATTTGTATCCCTGTTTCACAGGCGAAGAAACAGGGGTTCACAGAGATGAAGAAACTGGCAGAGGGTCACCCAGTAATAAGCAGAATCAGAACATGTAGTTGTATTAAGGAGCAGTTGTATAGTCAATAGCCATCTGGAATGTGCTTGTAATAGTAAAATAGAAGAATAAAAGTTAAGCTTAAACCAATGGCATTAAAATGCATATTTATTATATATGTACAGTGGTCCTTCATTAATTTAAGTTACTGCAGAAAAGGATATTAAGTTACCTAAATTAAATATAGTATGTGAATGGCCTAAATGCTGCCTGGATGAATTTAAATTCATTATCAATCAATATGCTGCACTACTTTAAAATAGTCTTTTACTCTGAACCTAAAATACATTCAAAATATTTGGATATAATTCTTTTTATTAAGCACAAAATCTTTTGTACTTATTGTTCATTTGGGAAACTCTTTATAGATATTTTTCTATTAGTTTTTGAAAGAGTAGATTTACTTCATTACTTGTCCAAACATCATACATTTTAAATTTACAGATGTCTAATATTTAAATACTAAGTTTAAATATTTTTTGATTGTTTCTCAAGAAAAAATATTTGAACTATACCAAATTTCTGCCCATTTAAACTCTAAGTATTTATATTTGGATAAATTTACATATTTTAAAGACAGGTTTCATAAAATATGCTACTATGTTACTCAAACTGGTTCTTAAACAATAAGATGACCATATCTTAAATAGCAACATGTGGTTATAGCAATATCTTGGTCTAAACCTAAACTGTATTAAGTTTTTTGAAACTTTTACCTGTTACTGAAATTTATTTGAAACTTTTATCTGTTAAAATTTTTTATCTCTTAAAAACTACTTGTTTGTGTTACTGTTCTTAATATTAAACTATTCTCATCTTCAATTAATACTTGGTAGAATAATTATCTGAATAAGAATCACAGAATATTAGAAGGCTTCAACAATTAGGGGACAGCAATAATTAAAAATAATTTACATATGGCACACGCACATGCGCGCGCACACACACTACGATAGGGTTCAAGGCATTCCACCTTCTTAACAGTGAATTCATGGGTCTTCACTGTGAAAAGTGGTATAGTATAGTGATTAAGAGCATGAACTCTAGAACCAGATTCTCTGGGTTTGAATCCTGGTTCTATCACAGACTAGCTTTGATTATAGACAAGTTATTTAGCCTCCATCTGAATTTTATCACCTATAAGCCCTACATCATACATGGGATTATTGATAGCTAAATTTAAAGTACCACAGTGCCTATTGTGTGGTAAGCATGGTATAAGCATTTAAAGAGAAAAATTAATTTTGTCTCTATTTGTGTTCTTTTAGAAAATAGCAGTTTTAGGAGATCTTAAGTGTACAAACAACATTTATACTGAGCTAGTATTAAGGATTAAAGTGTATTGGTAACACTTCCTGAAGAATCACTATCTCGAGTAATGATTTTCCAACTGTGTTCTAAGAATAGGATTCTGTTTGAGAGGGTCTCAAAAATGGTTCATTTGAAATTCAAGTTTTTAAAAGTATTTTTCATTTTTTAAAGTATCACCTGGCTCAATTAAATGTCATGCAAGACTCAGAACTCATCTCTCTTCCCCACAGTAGTATCTATTACAATAAAAAGAGAAATATTATGTCAATGTGTGATAGTATTATATATATTAATAAAAATAAGATTTAGATCTTGCCCAAGTTTAAAGTTATGATCAAGAATGCAAGTAGTTGGTAGATATTGTTGAGACTCAACTTAGAAAAAGATTTCTTACTACTTTTAAACTACCTGGGCAATTTAACAAAAGAGTTTCCTCAGATTCCAATTAAATCGCTGTAGTAGTTAAAATAACTTACCATTCAGCCTCTTATCTGTGAATCAAGATTTTCTTCATATTGGACAATTGAAACAAAACATAGAAATAAGCTAGGTGTTCTTGAAAACAGACTTATTCTTCTAGAAATGATTTTTATAATAAGTAAATATTATAAACAAGCTTATAATAAATTTAAAATAAGTTTAGAATAAACTTGAACTTCTATCTGCCTTAAATATTGATTTGGTTTTTGGTAAGATTTCATTTGAAAGAGATTCTACTGCTAAAAATATTTGCCAGCCAGTAGCTTAAAGGCAGCCTGAGCAATTGGGCATCTAAATAAAGCTGCTTTCTGTCAAATGTGACAGAAAGAAAAATTTTAACACTTTGAAAATTCTAAGACACAGAATGTGAACTCAGAAAACACAGAAATAGTTTTTCCCTAAAGAAACAACTATATTTTGCTTCAGCAAACATTGTAAAATAAGTTAAAATAACAAAAAACAGTAGTTAATGTAGGCTTTTTATAGATTAAAAAACGGAGGCACAGAGAAATGAATTGTTCCAAATCACAAAGCAACGGCATAGACAAGATGCATCATTAATTTTTTTCAGTCAATTGCATGATTGTTTTCAACTAACAACATAGTTTCTATTTATTGCAGATACTTTAGATATACTATATTTTCAAATTAAATGTCTTTTTTTTGTAAATAAAGTTTTATTAGAGCACAGTCCCACCTAATTTATTTACATATATTTTTTTTTTCAAATTAAATGTCTTAATATTTAGTAGATTAGAGAGCCTTACCTTCTGATATGATTATTAGGCTATCCAGAATTAGACTGAAAGTACTTTAGGGGAGTTAAAGACTGAAATATTTATTTCTCATTACAGGGCAAGAAAAGGTAAGAAAGTAAGACATTTCTGTGTCTACAAGTCCAAGCTATAGTAGGTCAGGAAATCAGGTTTTAGAGAAGTTATTCTTTTGTATTCTATTAGAAATAAAGGCTAAGAAATACACCACTGAACAAACCAAAGAATCAAAACCAAGAAGATACTATTTTGTTTTCTTTCCTTTTTCTCATTTACTAGATTCTTTGATGGCTGATTCTTTTATCAAAGAGTTAGGAAAGATAAATAGTGGCGAATTCTGAAGTTATTTCTTTAGCTAAAACAAATGAGGGGAGGAGTATGAGATCAGATACATCTAAGAAATGATTTCCCTTTATCTATATTGTCACTTGTAATAGTGCTAAAACAACAAAAAGTAGAACATAACTAATAGGTCCTGAGGAAAAAAGATCCTAAGTCATAAAATACAAAACATTTCACTAATATTTTATCATTTTTCTTATAATAATAACACAATTCTATAAATGATTTTTTTTTTTTTTTTTGACAGGGTCTGTCACCCCAGGTAGAGTGCAGTGGCATCATCGTAGCTCACAGCAACCTCAAAACTCCTGGGTTCAAGCGATCCTCCTGCCTCAGCCTCCCAAGTAGCTGGGGCTATGGTGTGTACCACCGCACACGGCTAATTTTTTTCATTTTTTGAAGAGACAGAGTCTTGCTATTACTCAGGCTGGTCTCAAATCCTGGCCTAAATTGTTCTTCCCTCCTCATCCTCCCAGAGTGCTAGGATTACAGGGGTGAGCCACTGTGCCTGGCCTACAAATAATTTTAAGTCTCTATTTTAACCTTGATTCCTTCTTCTAACTGGAAATGATGATAAAGCATTTTAAGTAAGCGAAAGCTACCCAACAAAAAACTTTTCTTTAACAACCATGGAGGGCTTCATTCTATGGAAGAAGAAAGGGCTCAAAAAGATACATATTTAATCTCTGAGTAACCCACAGCTATTGGTAATGGCTCTACCTAAATCTGTTTACTCAGAGCAGACAAGAGGCAAGACAGCACCTCTTTTAAAATTCATTCTAGTTTTCACCAGTTTACCACGATAAGAAAGAAGAGAAGTAAAAATAAGGATAAGTCAATAGAAAGGATGGAAGGAATCTTTAGGGAAACATTGAGAGAGACTATACTATTTTTAAAAGACCACATATACTTTTAAATATTATATAGGTAATAAACTTTTAAAGGTATATAAACCACCAGATCTTTTGCTTATTAATATTGGATATTTATATAAAATTTCTTCACTCAAAATAACTAGAAATGTATAGTATACACACATTAGAATGAAATGAAAGCCTAACATTGAACTGTTTATATTTAGAACTATTATAAAAAGAGACATTATTTTTAAAGTTTCTTCAAATCACTCCAAGTATTTCTCAATGTGTATCTTTAAGTTGGAAGTGATATAGCTTGATAAACTTGGTATATTGCATTTTAAATGGAACTTTAAATATTTCCTTACTTTCCACTCAGTACTGCCACACCTACTGTGCTCCTGGGGGTGGACATAGTGGCGACAAAATTCCACTGGCGAGCCTGAGGGTCCCATCTTTCTACTGTATTCAGATAGCTCCAGCCATCATGTCCCCCGACGGCATACATGGGACCTTCCAGTACAGCCACACCTAAGAGGAGACAGGAAAGAAGTAATGACTTCAGATTTGCTGCTAAGTCTTACCACATTTTAACTGAAATATGAGTACAATAATCCTTAAACATACAAATTAAACCAAGCAAAAATGTATGATATAGATATTTGGCTTCCTCACTGCTTTTCTTAGTGGGTGGGTGGGGTGGAAATAGCACTGTAGTTCTGGTCTTTAAAGTTTCAGAGGCAGTATTTTAAGGTACAACAGTGGAAAATTATTTTAAAAGTACACCGGATGCATACATTGCCACTATTTAAAACATTTTTCAATAATCTGGATTTATGATATATTTGAAAAAGCATTTTTATTCCTTCTCCCTATTAATTCAAATTCATGAGATTTTACTATAGTTAGATTTGATACTTGTTGAATAAATTAACAAATAAAGCTGGTTTGGCTCCTTGGTGATGAATCATACCAATAAAGTGTGATCAGTTGGTATGATTTATCACCAGGGAGTTAAGCCAGCTTCCTTTGTTAATTAATTCAACAAATACCTACTGAGTTTCTCCTAAGTGCCAGGCACTCCACAGAACATAACAGATAAGGGCTGTGACCTCATGGACCTTATACTTTAGTCAGGAAACAGACATAAAATACATTTCAGGTGTTGATAAGTGCTAATAAAAAAAGTGGAACAGAGTAAAACACAATAGGGAGTGTGTGAAGAACGCTTGGTGACTGATTGCTACTGACTCAGCAGCAGCCACACTGGCCGCCTTCCCCCTGGTGCAGAACGTACAATGCTGTGGTTGTACGACACGCAGTACTTTGAGTGAATCTGCATAGCTACACTTACCAAGGCCATGCCTATGTGTGGACATCGGTGGCATCACACTCCAAGTTTTTGTTTTGGGGTTGTAGCACTCTACAGTATTCAAAGTCTTCAGCCCATCTCTTCCTCCCACCACATACAGTTTGTCTTCTAACACTGCAACACCGAACTGTAGCCTCCTCCCATTCATATTCGCTACAGGAGTCCACATATTTGTACGGAGATCATACTTTTCAATGCTTGTTGCTCCTTAATAGTAACATATAGAAGTTATGCAAATAAAAATCCTACCATGACTATTTTATGAAATTATATTAAATACATATAAAAGTCTAATATTATTAGCATTTATAACAATACTTTTATTATATTCCATGAAGCCCCTACCTACATCTGTGACCTTATCTCTTGCTATGCTCCAGGCCCCAGTATGGAAAGGTCAAGTGGTCAAGGATTATTTGTCAAAGGAAGCTGAGAAGCAGCACCCAGAAGTGGGAAGAAAAACAGAGGAGTTTAGTGTCATGGAAGCCAAAGGAAAAAAGTATATTGCAGGTAGGTCTGCCAACAATGTCAGGTGCTACAGAGAGGATCAAGTTAGGAGAAGACTAAAAGCCATTACTGGATTTAGCTACATGGAGGTCACTGATGACTTCAGGGAGAAGTTCCTTATTTGAGTGGGTGAGACATGACTGGGAGGTGAGGAAATGGAGACAGTGGATTGGGAACAGAGAGCATTCTTCTGAGAAGTCAGTCTGGCTGCAAATGTGAGAAGAAAGAAATTACTAAGTATGCTGAGGCCGGTTTTGTTTTGTTTTACTTCTAAAATTGGAAAACCTTGAGTTTGTATGAATTCTAATGGGAGGATCTAGTTGAGAGGAAAGAAGCTGAAAATACAGCAGATGAAAGGGTCATAATTCATAGTTTCAGGTTCCCGGGGAGGCAGGAAAGCACAGTGTGCAGAGCAAAGGCAGAGGAGCTGGCTCTCATGGGAGGAGGACTGGGGGACACATTCTATGGCAACAAGGAAGGACAAGGGCACAAGCACAGATTACGTACGTTGGGAACTATGAACGCAGGAAGTTTAGGGACTTGTTGCCTGATAGCATATATTTTCTTTTTAAGAATTCCAGAACTTTTGTACTCTTTATAAGGTGAGACCTATGAGGTTTAAAAACAAAACAAAACACCACCCCTCTAAAAACCCAACCCTCAATTATGAAGAGTTCGCTTAGAGTCCACATCTCTCTTCTAAGCTTGAGCGCTCACCTTATAGAATTACAATCACAACAAACATTTATTCTAAAGTATTTGTTACAATTAGGTCATCAGAGCACTGATACTACTGATAATCTCCTAAAATTCAGAAACAGTTTTGTTATACATATAGATATTTTCTCATATGTTGCAGTTTTTATTGTTTTTTATTTACCCCACAAAATTCTAAGTTATTTGGGATAGATACCAAATCTTTTTCCACCTCTGTATTCTTCACAGCACCAAATAGAGTTCCTTGTACATAGTAGCTGTTAAAAAATATTTTTGAATTTGAATAATCTTTATTTATAATTTTTAGCTATAGTGAGATTTTGCTCATATGCTTAGACTATTTAATATAATAGTATAGTTGATTGATCACTCTACATATGATCTTAAAATCTTCTTCCTAATCAAATAAGTGAAATCAAATAAAAACTTACTTCCATCAAATAAAAAGCTAATTATGTCTCCTCACTAATCAATTCAAAGAATATTTTTCTTTTTAAGTTATTTATTTTAGATCTAGTTTACTAAGCAGTATCATAGCCTTATGAGTTGGTAACTAAAAGTTCTCTTGCTTATTTCCAATATAATTCTTAAAACATAAAATATTAAAACATAGTCTTAAATATGTATCTTTAAACAATCCAAATATCCAAAAATAACAAAATCCTAATAATTATAAAATTCTACATAAAAGCTTGGGACTTTCCTAATTTGTGCTGAAGAATTAACCTTTAAAAAAGTAAGCCCAAATATAGTCTAACATTTTTCTTAAGTTAATATAAATATATTGGAGACAGAAATGTCTCAGGAGTTTTGCCCTGAAGGAATATGTGAACGTGTTAGTTTCCATATTGAAAGTTGTTTCACCTCAGGAGGGCATCTCTGAAAGACAGTAGCGGCTGCATCCCACAGTGGCGCCGTAATTCTCAGACCTAAGGTTTGGACTTGCTTTGTAAAGCAAGGCAGATCTGCTAGAAACTATAGGATGAGAGCTGATCAAAGAGTGGCCATCTGAACAGACAGCCACCTGTGGCTATAAGCAATTAGCCCAAGGGACAGTTCCTGCTTAAACTCCGGACTACCTGTCTCCATTCACAATAACCTGATAAAGAAAATATGGAGCCAATATATCTCTGTTTAACCCCTCTGTTAAGTGATAAATTTACCTTAGAACTTAGAAGTTAGTCTTTGAAAGATTTTGTAACCATTTGTTCACATAGAAAGAGTGAGTTAAGGGATCTGAAGAAGCCTTTTGAAAAAGTGTTAACCTAAGAGGAACTACCTGTTGTTATATAAATCTGTTACCCCTGGCAACTGATCACTGTACCTATAAATGACCATGTAAAACTTCACTCTTGGCCTCTGAGATTGACGGAGAAATCCAGGCCCCCTGAGCACCCGCTTTGCCTATAATCTTTATAAATCTATAAAACTATATCTTCATCTCTGTGTATTCTTTTATTTCCATTATTTTCCATTTTCTATTATTTTCTTATCCTTTGCAACCCTACCAAAGTGACCCGATATTTTGCTGGGAGCTTAGCTACCTCCCTGCAGTACCTATTTAGAACCATTATTAGTTTATTTGTTGGGCCCTATACTAAACATATGTATGAAGAGACCATGAGCCTAAGGATCAGACTACCATCTAACTAACACAAACTGCTCTTCTTTATAAAATATTGGGAATAAGATCAATTAAGGCCAGCAAAAGTAGCTTGAACAGGATAGGTCAGAGTATTTGATTATTAAGAAAAGACTCAGAAATAAAGTTGGTCAAGCAGCAAGCGCCAGATTACAGAAAGTCTTGAAAGCCAGAATGAAGAATTTACATCTTGTGGAGTAAGAAATGAAGATTGTTAGAGTTTTTGAGCAGAGTAATGGCATATTAACTGAAGAGTTAATGGAGCAGAGAGTATTGTCTCCAAAGTTAAAATGCTTGTTTGAATCTTGATCCCATCACTAATTAGTTGTGTGATCCTGCGAAAATTACTTTACTTCTAAGTTTTGGTATCATAATCTATAAAAGAGAGTAAGAATAACATTCAGCTCTTAGAGCTGTTATGAAGATGAAACAAATATAGGTCAAGTGCTTGCATGATGTCTGGCACATATTAACATAAGGAATGCTATTTCCCCTAAATTAACATGATTAAAATATGTAGGCTGATAGGAGGCTAACTGGAATTAGAAGGTTGGCAGTAGAAATTTGGAAGAATTAAATAAGACCCATTTAAAGGAAGACTTGGTGATTGTCAGAATTTAAGGTTTGGAAGAGAGAAAGGATGGGAAGAGAGAAAGACAGAGATAGTATTGTTTAATTTGGGTGCTTAGCATTTAGTCCCCTTCCTCTGCTTGGGTAATTTTCCACCGTATGTATGAGCCTTGATGGGAGGCAGGAACCCATCTCCCAGAAAACTGAAAAGATAAATATTATTTTCCTTGCCCCTGCAAGTGTAGGGCCCAGGACTGACCTAAAGCTAATCAACTGGATGCTTGTAGGATTTAAAAGCTGAAGCAGGTATCATGAAGAAGCATGGCAGTGGATGTACCATTGTTCCTGCCCTTTTCTCATAGCCTTCCAATAAATTCCTTATCTGTTTGTTTGTTTGTTTATTTATTTATTTAGAGACAGAGTCTTGCTCAGTCACCTCTGGGTAGAGTGTCATGGCATCAGCATAGCTCATAGCATCCTCAATCTCCTAGACTCAAGCAATCCTCCTGCCTCAGCCTTCCGAGTAGCTGGGCCTACTGGACTACATGGTGACAGGTGTTTGTCACTATGCCCAGCTAATTTTTTGTTTCTATTTTTAGTAGAGACGGGGTCTCGCTCTTGCTCAGGCTGGTCTTGAACTCCTGACCTCAAGTGATCTTCCTGCCTCAGCCTCCCAGAGTGCTAGGATTACAGGTGCAAGCCACTGCGTCCGGCCAAATTCCGTATCATTTTAAATGAGCCAGAGTTGATGTCCACTGAACTATGATTCTAAGTTCTCAAGTCTGGGAGACATGGTCAGAGAAGATTTGGACACACCAGGTTTGAGGTGAAAGCCAAACATCAAACAGATATTTTATGCAAGTTGGAAATATGAGAATGATTCATATCTTGTGAGAGTAAGATATACTTGCGAGAGTATAACATATAGATCAGTACAGCGGTAACAGTTAAAGCCTTGAAAAAGAGAGGTAAAGATGGAGGAGATGAAGAACGTTAGTAATGGTTACAAAGCCTGGCACCAGTTCTAGGCAAATATTACATACTTAATAATAAGCATTTGGAGATTATCTGGACCACGGTTTGAAACCAGTTATCTTATTTATTTCTGTGCCATTCAGCCATCAAGCCTATATCTAAGAATTTAAGCATCTACAAATACATAGCACTGTGTTGTATGTTATGTGGGATAAAACATATAATATATAGAGATCTTATAGTCTTTGCTTACATGAATCTAAAAGTTCAATAACAATACTTTCCATTAGAGCACATAATTTTTTATTCCTTAAAGATGTCACATGGGAGAGGAACGTTTAAATGTGAGTAATACATCAAGGGCTTTAGTCATATAATTAACTCCAGAGATGGCAAAGATGACCTTCCTTCTTTTGACAAATACTTATGGATGCTGTCTATGTACAAAGCACTATACGAAGCTCTGGGAATATATTAGTGAACAAAACAAACTCCTTGCTTTTCTGGAGCTTATTTTGGGGGAAGAGGTAGATAGACCATCAACACACATACCAGGTGTTATGAAGAAACATAAAGCAGAGTAAGAAGATAAAAAGTGGCAGGAAAAAGGTTAGAAAGTGGTGGGCAAGAGGTTGCTACTAAATGGTCATGGAAGGCCTCTTTGGTAAGTTGACACTTGCGAGGAGATCTGAGTGAATAAATTCTGCTGGGCACTTCAGTATCGGGGGCAGAGCTAATGTACTATCCCTGATGTGGATAAAATGTTTGGCATGTTGGAACAATGAGAAGGCCAGTGGGGCTGGGATAGGAGGATCAGGGAGGGAAGAATGAGAATGAACTGAAATCAGGGAGGTAGAAGTCAGAGGAGTATTGTCAGGGAATTGCAGATTATTATTACTGGGAATTCAGAGAAAGGAGAGACCAATGTGTACTGAGAGAGAATACAAGCAAAACTTCTAGCATAATACCTGCACCCAGTGGGCACTATGTATGGTTTTGTTGCTACTATTTTTAATGTTAGCAAGAACTGTTGTAAGAATGGAATTCTCAGATACCCTTGACCCACATTTCCCAAATGTCTGTTTTACTACATTTGCTTTTTATGTATGTATATATATGTTTGCTTTTTATGTATGTGTATATATATGTACGTATGCATGTATTTTTTTCCTGAACTGCTTAAGAGTAAGCTGCAGAAATGATGCCCTTATACCCCTAAATAGCTTTAGTGTATCTTCCTCAAAATAAGAAATTCTTTTATAAAACCAAAATATAATCTTCAAAACCCAGAAATTAACATTTATACAATGCTATTACCTAATCTATAGACCTTATTTGGATTTTATCATTTGTCTCAATTAGGTCCTTTAGAGCAAAAGACAATTCAAGATGATGCATTATAATAGTTATCATGTCTCCTTAGTCTCCTGTAATCTGGAACAATTCCTGAATCTTTTTAGTATTTCACGATATTGACATTTTTGAATACTACAGACAAGTTACTTAGAATGGCTTTCAATTTACATTTGCTTCTTTTTTTCCTCATGACTACATTGAAGTTGTACACTTTCGGCAAGAATGTGCCAGACGCGCTGCTACTTAGCCTCATTTCTGGCAACATTACCTTTGATCACGTGGCAAAGGTGCTGGGTGCCAGTTTTCTCCACTGTGAAGATACTATTTTCCTCTTTGTAACTAATAAACAAGTGGCTGGGAGACTAAATATTCTCTTCTCAGACTATGGCCCACTAGTCTCAGCATCCACTGATGATTATTGACTGAATCAGTTATTATTATGATGGCTGCCAAATGGTAATTTTTCTAATGTCGTCTTTCTTTCCGCATTTATTAGTTGGCACTCTACTGTAAGAAAGAGCTTTCCCTTCTCGCTTCTTTATTTGTATCAGTGTGGACTCATGGATGCTTATTCATATCATAGGTTATAATCTTTTACTATCATGATTTATTTTAAAGCTCAAATTATTCCAGATTCGGACAGTGGTTGCCTCTACACACTGCTTCCTCTGTCTTTTGACCTGTTTCCGTCATTCTTTGAGTACTTCCTTATTTTCTGGCACTAGAGGCTGTCCCAGGTTTATCTTACACTTTTTCTGCCCCTGTCCTACAAACAGCCATTTCTCCAAAGAACTTTTTAGCTATATATATATTACTTATTAAAATTCCTTTTTTTTTCTGTTCCCCTAAATAAAAGATTATTCGATACCTTTTGTTGAATCCATTCCTCCAACTGCAAATAATGTGCCAACAGTTGACTTCCTAGGTTTTGTCCGAGGACTTTGTAACATGGGTCGTCTCTCTGGTAATAAATGATACTTCATTGCTTCCATAATGAGTTTCTGACACTCTATATCATCCCGAAAAAGTGCATTATTTTCCATGTCTGCCAGGAACTAGAAAAGAATAGCAAATGTACTCTGAATGGCTAAGAAAATGGTAAAGTTAAAAGAATAAATGATATAGTTCTTAAATGGAAATTATTTCATATTTTAAAAAATTCAAGTCTGGGCATATATTTTAAACTAAAATATGCAACACTTACAAGATTGACATTTTAAATTTTACTGGAAACCAAAACTGAGGACCATACATGGCATATTCTAAAATCTTAATTATTAATACTATAGTGCTTATCTCTGGATAGTAGGAATACTGGTGCTTTTTAAATAATCTTTTTACTACTTTTCTATAATTTCCAGATTTTCTAAAATAAATCATCTTACTTTTTAAATTAGAAATAATTTTAACTGAAGAAGAATAAATATAAGTGGGAGTTGATTAATTAGCCTACATTTATCTGATTTCTCTAAACAATGTTCAAATAGCAAAAGCAAAAACAAAACTTACTAATTTCTCAAGGGGCAAAGAACTCCAAATGGTTATTATTCTAAAAAAATTAAAATCCCTTGTGCTTCACTGGATCCTATTTAATTATATATAAATGCACATATATGGTTACACTCTGCCTTTTTAAAAATGAAAGTCTTTTTCTTTTGTGCTCGTACTGCATCACCCCTCCCTATCCCACAATCCTTCCCTGCCTTATAAACAACCTAGTATGCATCCTTTCATATTTTTCTCCATACTTATATAATCCTCTACTGATATAATTCTCATATATATTAATATATACATACATATGTAATAGGTATACAGTTTTTTCTTTTATTGTTTTATTATATGCTTTGCTGCATCTTACCATTTTTACTCAACAATATCTCATGAAACTTCCTCCAAGTCTTCCTGAAAAGATGTATTAATAGTTCTGATTTATTCTTTTTAATCAGTGAATAATATTCCACAGTATATAAATATACTAATTTTTTTCAGCCATTTCCTTACACATTCATTTTGTTTCCAGTATGTATATACATTCACATATATATACATGTGTACATAGACACACACACACTTTTTTTTTATTTTGCTACTAAAAACAAGTCTTGTACAGAAGTCCTTAGGTACCAATTTTACCTTTATGGGATAGATTTTTAGGAACTGAACTGACTCCAGACTCACACCCCCCCGGCCCCCACACATGATAAATGTTGTCAGATTGCTTTCCAAAGAGACTGTAGTAGTAATTCGCATGTCCATCAGGCATGTCTGAGAGTGTAACATTCATGCCAGGAATAAGTGTTTTAGCTCTTTTTATTTTTGCCAATGATATCACATTTTCCCTTTAGTTTGAATTTTCCTGATGAGTAAATATAAGCATCTTTTTTATATTTGGGCCAATTGTAATTTTTCTTCTCCCTTTGTCTGCCTCCTTTTTTCTATTGTTTATCTTTTGATTGGAAATTAGTAAGAGTTCTTTCTAATATATAACACTAATCCTTTATTTTTCTAGATTTATTATTTGTCTGTTGAGGTTGTTTCATAATACTTTGCTACACAAGCAATTTTCATTTTTAGGTTATAAAATATGTATCTTTCTTTTCATAGCTTCTGAATTTCCCATCCTGGTTATAAAGTTGTTTTGCTCCAGTTTGTGGATTTAGTCTCTTAGATTAGCCAGCAAGATTTTATTGCTTTATTTCTTTCATTTAGGCCATTTATCCATGTGAAATTATTTTTAATTAATTTTTAAACAGAGTATGAGTGAATGGGCATTTTTATTTTCTTTCAGATGAATAGCCAGTTCTGTACCAGCATCATTTATTAAATAATCCCCTCCATTTCCAGCTGAATTCAACCTTAGTCATGTTACATTCTCATAAATAGATCTCAAGATATATGAGATCTGTTTTTTGATTCCTTGTTCTCTTCTATTGATCTATTTGTCTATTCCTATTCTAATACTATACTTTATTACAGTGTCTTTATAGCATATTCTAATGTCTGATATTGTAAGTCTCCCCTTGCTGTTAATTTTCATGTGTGTGTGTATGTATATATCTTTTTAAATTTTAGAATATTATGGGGGTACAGATGTGTTGGTTACATGGATTGCTTTTGTATTGTTTGAATCAAAGTTACAAGTGTGCCCATCACCCAGATGGTGTACACTGTACCCGTCAGGTATGATTTCCTCCATCCCCTCCTCTCCCATCCCCCACCTGCATGATTTCCATTGACTTTTACTTTCATCTGTGCACATGAGTGCTGATCTGTTAGTTCTAATTTAATAGCGAGTACATGTGGTGTTTGTTTTCCCATTCTTGTGATACTTCACTTAGGAGGATGGTCTCCAGTTCCATCCAGATTGTTGCAAAAGGTATTAATTCATTTTTTATGGCTGAGTAGTACTCCATGGTGTACACATATCACATTTTATTACTCATGAATTGATGGGCACTTGGGTTGATTCCACATCTTTGTGATTGTGAACTGTGCTGCAATAAATATTCTAGTGCAAGCGTCTTTTTGAAAAAATGACTTTTTTTCCTTTGGGTAAATACCCAGGAGTGGGATTGCTGGGTCAAATGGCAGGTCTACTTTTAGTTCTTTGAGGAATCTCCATATTATTTTCCATAGAAGTTGCACTAGTTTGCAGTCCTAGCAACAGTGTATAAGATTTCCTTTCTCTCCACATCCACGCCAGCATCTATTGTTTTTGGACTTTTTGATAAAAGCCATTCTCACTGGGGTTAGGTGATATTTCATTGTGGTTTTGATTTGCATTTCTTTGGTGATTTTTATTTTCTATTTATTTTTTATTTTATAGACAGGTCTTGCTTTGTTGCCTAGGCTGAAGTGCAGTGGTGCTTTCACAGCTCACTGTAACTTCTGGGCTCAAGTGATCCTCCTGCCTCAGCATCCTGAATAGCTGGAACTATAGGCAGAAGCCAGCATGCCCAGGTAATTTTTTAATTTTTTGTAGAGATGAGATATCACCATGTTGCCCACGCTGGTCTGAACTCCTGGCTCAGCTCCTGCCTTGGCCTCCCAAAGTGCTGAGATTACTGGCATTAGCCACTATGCCTGGCCTCTTGGCTATTTTTGACCTTTTATTTTCCATATAAACTTACAATAAATTTATTCAGTTCCCTTTCACCATCCTGATTCTCTTGGAATTCTAATAGGAACTGCATTAAGTTTATTTGTTAATTTTGGGAGAATTTACATTTTTTATGATGTTAAGTCTTTCTGTTCAAGAGCCTTTCCATTTCTTGCATAGTGTTCTTCATATAGGTCTTATGCCTTTCTTTTATTAAATATATTCCTACATATTTTATTATTTTTCATTGCTATTGGGAATGGATTTTTAAATTTTCATTTTGTATATGTTTTGCTGGAAGAAAGAAACTCTACTGATTATATCTTATTCCCTTAAGCTCTAGTTGTTATGCATATAATCATAATTATCACCAAATATGGATAGTTTTGCATCTTTTTCTAATGTGTATGCCAAATATTTTTTTTTGCAATTGCTAAAACCTTCAAAGCAATGTTAAATAATTAAGGAAATATAGAGTATCCCCGTTTCTGGTTTGAATTGATGTAGTTTTACTGTTTCACTATTTAGGATAATAGTGCTGTAGCATTTAGTAATACATCTTTATTATATTTAGATTGTCTCTATCTCTTTGTATTTTACTTGGGAGTTTTGATTTTTTGTTTTGTTTTTAGAGACAGAGCCTCACTCTGTCACTCACGCTGGAGTGCAATGGTGCTATCCTAGCTCACTGTAACCTTGAATTCCTACACTCAAGTGATCTTCCTGTCTCAGCCTCCCAAATAGCTGGGACTACAGGTGCACACCACCATGCCCGGCTAATTTAAAAAAATTTTTTTTGTAGAGACGGGATCTCACTATGCTGTCCAGGCTGGTGTCAAACTCCTGGGCTCAAGTGATCCTCCTGCTTTGACTTCCCAAAGTGTTGGGATTGCAGGCATGAGCCACCTTGCCTGGCCCTACTTTGGAGTTTTAAATTAAGAATGGTTGTTAAATTTTTTCCAAACACCTTTCATAGACTGATTGATATGATCATATGGCTTTTTCTCCTTTTAAGTGATTGATGTAATAACTACTTTGATAATCATTCTTGTATTCCTGGAAAAAGACCTTCCTGGTCACAATGTATCATCCTTTTGATACACTGCTTGATTGTATTAGACAATGTATTTCTTTACAGTTTTATTGAGGTATATTTTACATATAGTAATTCATCTACTTTAATATATAATTCAATGATTTTTTAATAAACTTAGCAAGTTGTAGAACCAGTACCATAAAACAGTTTTGAAACATTTTCATCACCTCAATTAGATCCCACATGCCTGTTTACTGTTAATCCTCATTCTTACCTTTTGTCCCAAGCACTAATCTGTATTTGCCCTTTCTAGACATGTCATATAAATATAATCATACAACATGGTCTCTTGTGACTTGTTTTTTTCACTTAGCATGTTTTTCAGTGTTTTCCATGTTGTAGCATGTATCAATACTTCATTTCTTTTTATTATTGAATAATAATTCATTGTATGGATATACCTCATTTTATCTATGTATTCACCAGTAGATGGATGCTTAGGTTGTTTCAGTCTCAGGCTTTTATGAATAAAGCTGCTGAGCACGTTTGTGTACAAGTCTTTGTGTAGACATATTTTCATTTCTCTTGGGTAGATATCTAGGAATAGAATTACTGGGTCATACGGTAAATTTATGTTTACCTTTTTATGAAACTGTCAAATTGTTTTCTAAAGTGAATGTACCACTATATAATCCCACCAGCACTATATGCAGGTTCCTATTTCTGTACATCCTCACCAACAATTGTTACTGTCTGTCTCTTTATTTCATCCATTCAGGTAGATGGATATTGTGGTTTTATTTTGCATTTCCCTAATGACTAATGATGTTGAGAATATGTTCATGTTTTGATAATGGAAGAGTCTTTAACAAAAGTCACTCTTAAAAATTTATGGGATTTAGAAACCAAGCACAGCATACCAAAGGCAAAAAAGCCAAACTAAGACACAAGTCCTGGCCAGGCACAGTAGCTTATGCTTATAATCCCAGCACTTTGGGAGGCTGAGGTGTGAGGATCATTTGAGGCCAGGAGTTGAAGACCAGTCTGAGCAAAAAATAGAAAAATTAGGCAGGCGTGGTGGTGAGCACCTGTAGTCCCAGCTACTGGGAAGGCTGAGACAGGAAGATTGCTTGAGCCCAGGAGATTAAGGTTGTAGTAAGCAGTGATTCTGCCA